GTTATGGGTGGAGTGGAGTGTGTGGTTGTAGTCACCATGGTGGCTGGCTGTGTGGTACTAGTTGGCCTCATGGTGGAGGCAGAGGAGACTGTGTGTGTGCTGGGCGGTGTCCTCTGAGAGGTGAGTGACACCACGGCTGTTGTGAGTGTTGGAGATACACTGGGTGTTGAGGCCTGTGTGCTGGAAGTTGTTGGAAAGTTGGTGGTGGTCTTGAGGGATGTTCCTGAGGTGGAGCCTGTGGTGTGTGGAGCTTGGGAGACTGAGAGCGTGGAAGGTGTGTGAGTCGAGACTGGAGTGCTGGCCCTGGTGAGTGTGGAAGACATGGTATGGGTTTCTGTACTGGTGGGGTAGGAGATGGTGGTGGGTGATAGGGAGAATGTGGATTCCCGGTGTGGTGTGGAGGAAGGTTGTGTCACGTGTATTGGTGATGTCCTGGCTGTGCTGAGTGCCGTGGGGACCTGGCTGGTGGCACTGGTGGTCATGGTTATTGGTGGAGTGGAGGGTGTGGTTTTAGTATTCATGGAGGCTGGTTGTTTGGTACCAGTTGGCCTCATGGTGGAGGCAGAGGAGACTGTGTGTGTGCTGGGCGGTGTCCTCTGCGAGGTGGGTGATACCACGGCTGTTGTGAGTGTCGGAGATATACTGGGTGTTGGGGTCTGTGTGCTGGAAGTGGTTGGAAAGTTGGTGGTGGTCTTGAGGGATGTTCCTGAGGTGGAGCCTGTGGTGTGTGGAGTGTGGGAGACTGAGAGCGTGGAAGGTGTGTGAGTCGAGAATGGAGTGCTGGCCCTGGTGGTCATGGAAGACGTGGTATGGGCCATCGTGGTATGGGTTTCTGTACTGGTGGGGTGGGAGGTGACAGTGGGTGAAAGGGAAGATGTGGATTCCCGGTGTGGTGTGGAGGAAGGTTGTGTCACGTGGACTGGTAATGTCCTGGCTGTGCTGAGTGACGTGGGGACCTGGCTGGTGGCACTGGTGGTCATGGTTATTGGTGGAGTGGAGGGTGTGGTTTTAGTATTCATGGAGGCTGGTTGTTTGGTACCAGTTGGCCTCATGGTGGAGGCAGAGGAGACTGTGTGTGTGCTGGGCGGTGTCCTCTGCGAGGTGGGTGATACCACGGCTGTTGTGAGTGTCGGAGATATACTGGGTGTTGGGGTCTGTGTGCTGGAAGTGGTTGGAAAGTTGGTGGTGGTCTTGAGGGATGTTCCTGAGGTGGAGCCTGTGGTGTGTGGAGTGTGGGAGACTGAGAGCGTGGAAGGTGTGTGAGTCGAGAATGGAGTGCTGGCCCTGGTGGTCATGGAAGACGTGGTATGGGCCATCGTGGTATGGGTTTCTGTACTGGTGGGGTGGGAGGTGACAGTGGGTGAAAGGGAAGATGTGGATTCCCGGTGTGGTGTGGAGGAAGGTTGTGTCACGTGGACTGGTAATGTCCTGGCTGTGCTGAGTGACGTGGGGACCTGGCTGGTGGCACTGGTGGTCATGGTTATTGGTGGAGTGGAGGGTGTGGTTTTAGTATTCATGGAGGCTGGTTGTTTGGTACCAGTTGGCCTCATGGTGGAGGCAGAGGAGACTGTGTGTGTGCTGGGCGGTGTCCTCTGCGAGGTGGGTGATACCACGGCTGTTGTGAGTGTCGGAGATATACTGGGTGTTGGGGTCTGTGTGCTGGAAGTGGTTGGAAAGTTGGTGGTGGTCTTGAGGGATGTTCCTGAGGTGGAGCCTGTGGTGTGTGGAGTGTGGGAGACTGAGAGCGTGGAAGGTGTGTGAGTCGAGAATGGAGTGCTGGCCCTGGTGGTCATGGAAGACGTGGTATGGGCCATCGTGGTATGGGTTTCTGTACTGGTGGGGTGGGAGGTGACAGTGGGTGAAAGGGAAGATGTGGATTCCCGGTGTGGTGTGGAGGAAGGTTGTGTCACGTGGACTGGTAATGTCCTGGCTGTGCTGAGTGACGTGGGGACCTGGCTGGTGGCACTGGTGGTCATGGTTATTGGTGGAGTGGAGGGTGTGGTTTTAGTATTCATGGAGGCTGGTTGTTTGGTACCAGTTGGCCTCATGGTGGAGGCAGAGGAGACTGTGTGTGTGCTGGGCGGTGTCCTCTGCGAGGTGGGTGATACCACGGCTGTTGTGAGTGTCGGAGATATACTGGGTGTTGGGGTCTGTGTGCTGGAAGTGGTTGGAAAGTTGGTGGTGGTCTTGAGGGATGTTCCTGAGGTGGAGCCTGTGGTGTGTGGAGTGTGGGAGACTGAGAGCGTGGAAGGTGTGTGAGTCGAGAATGGAGTGCTGGCCCTGGTGGTCATGGAAGACGTGGTATGGGCCATCGTGGTATGGGTTTCTGTACTGGTGGGGTGGGAGGTGACAGTGGGTGAAAGGGAAGATGTGGATTCCCGGTGTGGTGTGGAGGAAGGTTGTGTCACGTGGACTGGTAATGTCCTGGCTGTGCTGAGTGACGTGGGGACCTGGGTTGTGGCACTGGTGGTCATGGTTATTGGTGGAGTGGAGTGTGTGGTTGTAGTAACCAGTGTGACTGGCTGTGTGGTACCAGTTGGCCTCATGGTGGAGGCAGAGGAGACTGTGTGTGTGCTGGGTGGTGTCCTCTGAGAGGTGGGTGAATATAAGGCTGCTGTGAGTGTTGGAGATATACTGGGTGCTCGGGTCTGTGTTCCGGAAGTGGTTGGAAAGTTGCTGGAGGTCTTGAGGGATGTTCCTGAGGTGGAGCCTGTGGTGTGCGGAGTGTGGGAGATTCCCATTGTGTATGAAGTTTTAGTTGGCCCATGGGTTTTCGCTGTTCTCGGTGTGATTTCGGTGTGTTGCATTGATGATGCCTGGGTTCCACTGGTCTGCGTGCTGTGCTGAGTCGCCAGAGTGGTTCCTCCTGCAGTGAATTGTGTATTCTGCGTGAGTGGGACTGGTACTGTGCCTCGCATTTCCTCATGGGCACTTGTCCCTGGGGATACAAACGCTGTCCACATAGAGTGCTGTCTCTCGTTTGGCTCCTACTCCTCCCATTTTCTCTACCTTCTGTGACCTGTTTTTCCCTCGTTGGTGAGCAACTGACTGTGCACATTCAATTTTCCCCTCTCCCGCCTGTGCCTCCTTCTCTTTCAGGCAGTCGTGACTTCTTTCGAGCCATTTATAGCTGCTGCTACTCTGAACTTGAGCTTCTACCTGCTCCCCATTGTGCTGTCCAGATGTGCCATTTGTGTGCACTGATTCTCGGCTTTGCCCCCACGGCCTGTGTTTTGCTGGTGCCAGGCTGCCCCCTTGTGTCCCTGCATGTTCGTGGGCCTGTCCTTCCTGCTTGTCCTGTGGGGAAGTCTTGGTATTCTCCAAGGCTGACCCTGCCATGCTGGGCTGTGCTACGAGTCATGGTGTCCCATGGCTCACCTTGTCCAGGGGTTGTTGCCCATGTGGTCACAGTCAGTGGTACCACTGTGGTCCGTGCTGTGGTTCGAGCTGTGGAGGTAGAGGCTGGGCTGCGGGATGATGCTGTGGGCTCTGTGGTTGCTGTGGTGACTGTATTCCCTGTGGCTGTTGACATCACTGTGATTGTAGGCACCCAAGATGAGGTAGCAGTTGTGGTGACAGCCGTGGTGGTGGGAGAGGATTCTGCAGGGAAGAGGCCCTCTGTGTGTTCCCCATCTTGTTTCTGATGTCCCTGCCTTTCCTGAGACCTAGGTCCCTTCCTGCCTCAGCCTTCTGGAGGTGTACTGGCCTCCTGACTTCCTTGGTTTGACCCTGCAACTTCTATGGTCTGTGTGGCAGTGGTGGCCTGATGGCAGGAGCAGTGAACACAGGGTCCTGTGGGCCATCTGGGTAGACAGAGTCCTGTCCTCTCAGCCCCTGGCAGCAGAACATGTGCCAGTATGGGCCGGGAGGTCTGGTCTGTCCCTCACGTATTCTGGTGGCAGAATCCGATAGCACTGCAATGGTCAACAGTGGCAAGCCTGGGCTGTGAACCAGTTTTTCAGAGAAATTGCCACTTGGCTTTGCAGCTCAGGGACCTGTGTGGTGACAGTGCTCCCCATGGTCTCACCTGGGCACAAGCAGACCCCACCCCATGCCCAGGGTGGGTGGCAGGGTCCCCGTGTTACCTCCTGATGACACAGTGGAAGCGGAGGCCTTCCATCCCTCTGTGGTGGCTGTGGGAGTGGGTGGGGAAGTGGGCCGGCTGGTATTGGTGCTGTTGGCCACTGTGGGCGGTGATCCTGTGTGGTGCAGTCATGTCCTCAGGATGGGCAGGGCCTGGTACCTCGCTGCACTATGGCCCTGAGGGGCTGGAACTGCCCTCCGAGGTTCTAGGGGACTCCCCCTACCACTGGGTCAGAAGCTAAGTTTTGCCTCCCTTCTCCTCTGACCCAGATGGCATTGGATGCCCCCACCTCCCTGGTGCCAGGGACACTGAGGCTGGGCCAGCATGGGGACTCGGTGTGGGGGTGGTCACCTGTGGTGGGTGGCAGTGGTGGCGATGTTGGGCGCGGTGCTGCAAGAGGAGGGGTGGTCAGGAGCGGTCACTTCCCATCCCTTTCCGTCCCCTCCTCCACCCACTCTCCCAGCCCTGGCAGGGAGGGGTGGGGTCAGGAGGAGCTCTGTAGGGTGCACTGGGCCCTGGGAGGGTTCCTGCTGTGCCTGCTCCCTGGCAGGCCGGGCCCTGCTCTGAGGCCGGTCGGGGAGCAGGGTGGGAAGCACAGCGACCACGGTGACCTGTGCTGCTTCCTCTGCACCAGTGCCAGGCTGTGGGAGTCTTGGGCCCTCAGTGAGCAGGGTGCAAGCAGCAGGTGCTAGGGTAGGACAGTGGCTTGGCAAGGCTGGGGCTCTGGGTGTCTTCTGCCTGCACCAGGGCCTGGCCCAGGCTGCCCTGGGGCTGACTCACCGCAGGGCATGCAGGTCCCCTCGCTGTGGTCAAAGTACTCGTCCTGTGAGCAGTTGTAGCAGCCTAGGGTGGAGAGTGCCAGCTTGGTGCCCTGCTCTCTGCTCGGGGCCCATGTGTGTACATGGATGGGGGTGTGGGCGATGGATGTGTGTCTGAACACAGACGGATGTGCATGTGGCTGAATGGGTGTGTGCGCAGTGCGGGGACAAGTCTCCACGCCGTACCTTCGATGTTGGTGCCCTCAAAGTTCTGCAGGCTGCCAGGGCAGAGGCAGGGCCGGTAGTGCCACAGACAGTCATCCTCCTGCGTGGGCTGGTACTGGCTGCCCGCTTGAGGGTGGGTATTGTAGAAGTCACAGTAGATGGCTGGGGGTGTCAGGAAGCAGTGAGCAGGGCTCAGCTCGGGACGGCACCGCCTGCGGGAGGGCTCCCACGGGCTCTGGGGGAGGACTGGGGGGAGGGCACTCACGGCAGAAGTCTGGAGCCCTCCAGTCCACACACACGCCCTTGTCCAGGCAGGCCTGGGCATAGGCAGCCACTGCGTCGCACAGACACTCGCAGTCTCCACCCATGTCGCATCCACACGTGTCGCGCACACAAGCCTCATAGTAGGGCAAGTGGTACACCTGTGGGTGGGGCCGGTCAGCATGCCCTTGGCCACCACCACACCCCAAAGCTGAGCTGCCACAGAAGCTTCTGATCCTCCCTCAGGGCCCGTGGCTTACTAGAGCCGAGCCCCCCAACCTGCGTGGCACCTTCTGCAGCTCCTCTCCTCACCACAGCCCTGTGCTCCTGAGCTCAGAGCCTCCATGCCAGACTGGTTCCTGCCCCAGGGCTTTTGCACTGCCATCCTGCCACTGGGGCACCCACCTTTCAGTCCTTATGGAGCCCAGGGGTCAAGGGCTCCCTGCAAGATCCCGTGCCCTCCCCCACCCGCATGTCTCCTTCCCCGCTGTGCACCCCAGAGCAGGGTGCCACCACCGTCTGGGGGTGCTGCTGACCTCCTGTGATGTGTCAGACTGTGCACTCCAGCCCGTCCAGCCTGAGTCCCCAGGAGAGAGTACTGTTCCACTTGTCCCAGGCTGGGTCAGGCTGGCACCTACCTTGCTGTGGCAGCTGGCAAAGGTCTGGCCGTTGATGATGCTGCATTTGCGCTCGGCCCAGGAACGGCGGAAGGCATTGAGGCTGCAGGGCTCGACAGCAGCACGTGTGTCCCCACAGAGCGGGCTCTCCTTCCAGGAGTTCACAAACTCCAGCTCGCTGGATGCCACGTACCTGCTGCGTGTCTCGAAGTCGTCCTTTGTGTTCCCATTGGCGTTGCCACACAAGCCACAGAGGGCATCCTGCAGGGCCACCGTGTGGGGAACAGGCTTGGAACGAAAGCCCTGCTTGGAGACCCGGGGCCTGGGCGCCTGGGCACTTGGCAGGTACCTGGGAGGTGCGATGGACCTTGATGGAGACGCTCATGTGCTTGTTCCAGACGAGCGTCAGGTTGAGCCTCCCGGGGATGTCTGCGTCCAGCACCAGGCTCAGGGCACTGGACTGCACCTGGAAGTGCACCTGGGGGTCCTCACCACGCACCGTGTAGCTGCTGTCTGCCATCGTGATGGACAGGCCCTGTGGGACGGGGCTGTCACAAGCTGCCTGTCCTCATCCCCCAATCTGTGCCCTGCTCCAAGCCTATCACAGACACAAGGGAGTTCCTGGTGGAGGGCCAGTGGGGACGTGACAGGCTTGGCTTCCTGGCAGCCCCTTCCCTGCCCGAGACCTGGCACAGGCCACATGGACACTGGTTCTGTGCGGGTATGCCTGGCTGGCGAACAGCCTCTGCCATGGAGGGCTGTTGGCACTCCCACCCTTGCCCTGTCTAGTGCAGACACAAGGCGGAACCGGGGCCCCAGGGTAATGCCCCTTGCCCCGGGAAGGGCCCAGCTGCTCACACCCAGGACAGTCTCGATGGCACGGGAGCAAGTGACCCCCGACTTCCCACAGATGATGTTCTCCGTCAGGACCTTGAAGGTGGGCTGTGAGTTGTTGGTGCCACAGTCATCCTGCAGGGAGTCCATGTTGAGCAGGAGCCCCTGCTTCTGCCCCCCGCACACCCCCACTGCCCACCTGGCCCATACCGTGGCCAGGATGTACTTGCAGTTGCCATCGAACACGAAGCGCTGCCCATCGAAGGTGACCACATGGCCCTCCCCATAGAGGACGCAGGTGGATGGGCAGTGGGCACCCTGCTGGCAGGCCCAGCGCCCCTGCAAGCAGGTGCTGGAGAGAGCAGGCAGTGGGCGGCCCTCTTCCGGCACACCACATGTCCCAGAGGACTGTCACACCTCCAGCACCCCACATCCATGCACCGTACCTTCTGACATCCTCACTTCTGGTCACTCTCACCTCCTGGAACCCCAGCTCTCCATGCAAGCCCACCTCCTACAGCCCCACCTCCCTGCCTTCCACCCCCACACACCCAACCTCCAGACATCCACCTCGATGCACCCCACCTTTGGGTGTCCCTGGCCTGCAGGAAGGTGTAGCTTACCAGGTCTTACAGTCAGTGTGGAGCTCAGCGCCCCCTGGGTAGGAGACCCCCGCGAAGTCACATGGGCACTGCTCGGCGGGCACACACTCCCCGCTGGGGTTCTCATAGAGCCCTTTTGCACAGACGCAGCCAGGCTCGCACTTAGTGGGCACCTGGGGGAGGCGGGGTCAGCAGCCTCGTGCCTACTGCAGCCTGGCCCTGTACCCGAGAGCGCTGCTGTTCCTGTAGCCCTCCTTCCTGTGCCACCCCTGCCTGCTTTGGGGTCTCCATCCCTGTGCGCAGGTTCCCCAAGCTGGGCTCCTCAGGGAACCCCACAGGCGCCACACCTATTCTCCAGTGGCCTGGCCCCACCCCACTCAGCCCCGGGAACAGACGGTGGTCCCCTGTGGCGCATCCCTGCCCCTTACACAGGCAGTGCCTGTGGCCAGCATCTGGCAGGTGGGCGCGCAGGCTGCCCCGAACTTGTCCTCCGCGGACTGATCACAGGACTGGAACGTTTTGGTGGCCGGGCAGGAAGCTGCAGGGGCAGGAGGGTGTGTCAGGTGGCCTGGGGTATCCCAAGATGCCTTAAGGACCCTGCTGGCTTCCGTTGTACGTACCCAGGAACATTTGTGGCTGTCCAGAGCAGCTCATCCTCCCATTGGTGCAGTAGCTGTGAGAGAGACGGTTTATAGGCTGGGTTTAGGGCTCCGCCCCACCCTGCCCTGGCCCCGCCCCGTGGCCCGTGGTCCCGCCCTAACCACCAGCGCTGGCCGCTCCGGGCCCAGGCCCCTCCCCTCTCAGCCCCAGACCGCACCAGCTGACTCCGTTGAGCAAGGTGGCCTGGTCCGCAGGGAGGAACTTGGAGCTCTCCAGCAGGCAGGGGCATTGGGCCTTGTGCACGCATTCGCCCTTGTGGTCCAGGTAGGTGCCCTCGGGGCAGTTGCAGCCGTCCACCGGCACAGCACTGGCGTGGCACTCAGCCTCACGGTCAGAGAGTGACAGGCACGTGCGGCCGCAGGCCCGGCTGTCATAGCTGAAGGTACGGTTGCCAGTGCAGGGGACAGCTGCAGGGCACCAGGTCAGGCTGTCCAGATGGGCACCTGGGCAGGGACCCCCATGACCCAGCGCCCAGTGTCCCCACCCCCCCACTGGGCGGCACTCACTGCAGTTGTCCACGCTGTTCCTCCAGCCCCAGAGTGGGACACCCTGGGTGGCGCAGGCCTGTGCATAGGTGCCCAGGGCAGCACAGATATGGGGGAAGGTCTCCTCGTAGTTACAGGCCTGGTACACGCACCTCTAAGGGGGAGGGGGAACCGGCATGGTGTGGGCACCACTCCTGGGACACAGCTTTCTGCCCTGCGATGTGCCCCAGCCCCACCAAGTCCCCCAGCCTCACCTTGTAGAAGGGTGTGGGGTTCACCGTAGCATGGCACTTTTCAAATGCGCCGCCCTTCCTCACCAGCTCAGAGCAGTGGCTCTCCGCACACACCTCTAGGGACAGATGGCATGGGTCTCCTTACCTGCTGATTGGACCAGACGGGCCTGGGTCCAGGATGGTGGCAGCAGGGCACTCACTGTTGAGCTGGCTCATGGAACAGGGGTTGGTCTCACGCTCCAGGGCAGCCGGGCAGTTCCCTGCCCGCCAAGAGTCCACAAAGAGTGTGGCGGTGCCCTCATTGATGCCCATGCTGGTCATGAAGTCATCAGTGGTGTCTCCGTTGAAGTTGCCACAGAGCCCTGAGCCAGCCAGGCATGAGGGCAAGTGAACCCCAACCTGCCCTCCTGTGTCTCCTCCCCAAAGCTCCTCTCTCCAGCTGTGCCCGGTGAGGGGCTATTGCTGGCCTTGCGTGGCTATTCCCAGGGCCCTGGGGCTGTGAGCTCCCCAGGTATGGATGCCAGTGTGAGGCTTGCTCGTCCCCAACCCCTGCCCCACTCTGGACATGGCAGGGATAGGGTGACTGGGTCATGCGGGGTGATGTGGCACAAGGCCCACCTCTGGTCTGGCCTCGGAACTGGGGCCCAACAGTGATATATGCCTGGAAGATGGGCCGCAGCTGGACCACGAGCTCCAGCCCAAAGGTGGTGGCCATCTGGAGGTGGGTGGACGTCTGCCTAAAGATGGTGATGTTGCCTGCAAGGACACGGCCTTCAGTGGCTGTTGGCCTGGCCTCGCCCCAGGCTGCTGCTGGTGAGAGCACCTACGTGTCTTGTACGGTAGCCACTTGGTGTCTCCATGGTTGGTGATCACCTCGTCCTCTGAGATCACAATTTTGTCCTGGAGGGAGGGTGACCAGGTCAAGGGATGAGCAGGGGAGGCGCCAGTGAGCAGGAGCAGGAGGGGGCCGTGGGGCAGGTGGTGGCCTTACCTTCCGGGACAGGTAGATGACAGCAGTCAGGGAGGTCTCTGAGTGTGAGTAGCCTGACTTGTCGTACACGGCCATGAGAGTGCCCTCGTCGGGGAGCTGTGGGCTCTGGGGAGGGGAGAGGCATGGAGGGTGCCCACCTGTCCCCAAGCATGTCCTGCCAGGGGGTTCAGACATGCAGGGCTGCCTGCCTGCTCCCAAGCCTACCCTACCTGGAGGAGGATGTAGGTGCAGGTGCCATGGAAGCGGTAAGGCCTAGTGTCGAACGTGGTGAGGAAGGAGCCGCCTTCCAGGGAGCAGGTCCCAGGGCACGGCTTCTCCGTACACATCCAGCGGCCTGTGGTGCACTGGCTGTGGGTGGGTGCAGTGATGCGTGCAGGTTGGGCCCCCAGAGCCTGTGCCCTCCCCTGCCAGTGCCCAGTGCTCACCAGGTCCGGCAGGCAGCTGCTGTGACCTCGCTGGGGCCGTAGACTGCCCCGTTGAACATGCAGGGGCACTGGCTGAGTGGTACGCACGTGCGGTTTGTGGAGAGGTCATTGAGCACTGTGCCTGCAGGAGAGGCCGTCCTGGGCCTGGTGGGCCAACCTCCTCTGCTGGGCCTCGAGCTCCCCCACAGCTGTCCCAGGTGCCCCCAGGGCTCCTCCTCCACCCCACCCTGGCCGTCTCCAGCCCTGCTGGCGAGTTGCAGCACTGTGGCACCCCTCACCCGGGTGGTGCAGTCTCACAGCGCTGAGCCACCTCGCCCAGCCGTGCTCAGACCCCTGTGGGCACCGCTCCCTCATGGGCTTGTGAGGCTAGGGGGCCCAGGTCCTGGACAGCTGGAGTGGTGTGGCTTTGGGGTGGCTGAGGGCTCTGGGGCAGGGATACAGCAGGGTGTCTGTGCTGAGCTGGGTGGGGGTGAGCGTGGGGGTCAGGGTGGGGCTTACCAGTTCTCAAGGAGAGAGGGTTTGAGCCAGGGTTAGGGTTAGATAACTTAGGGTCAGGGTCAGGGAGGGTGCTGGTGTTGCCTCACCCTCTGGGCAGAAGCAGCCGAAGGTGCAAGAGCTGGGGCAGCTGTGCCGTGGGTTGGAGCAGGTCTCAGTGCAGGCTGCACCACATTCCCGGTACTCCTGGCTCGCTGGACACAGGCCCAGTGCTGCACACAGTGCAGTGTGGTGAGAAACTGCCCTCCAGGAGTCCCCCCTCCCTGCTGCCCTGGGACTCACAGCAGAGGCCGGGGCCCCGCCAGCGGCTCACGGGCTGGCCCGCCATGCTGCAGCGGCGTGAGAACTCTGACAGGGTGGCGCAGCTGCAGTTCGGCTGTCCAGGTGGGTTGCATGCCGCCATGTCTGCCTGGCAGCTGTGTGCCAGTGGCTCCTTGGGCACGTCACACTCGGGGGACACCAGGGCGAGCAGCCGGGCGCAGGTCTCAGCCTGAGAGGGGGAGCTCACTTGCATCCAAGGCCACAGCACATGACACAGGGGGCTCAAGTTTGAGGGCGTTGGTAGCCCTGGGGGCCTGTCCACCCTGGGGTCAGCCCACTGAGGTCCCTGGTGCCTCACGTACATCCTTGGCACGCAGACTGGGGGCTTTCGGGACATCCTCATAGGCGCAGATCTCATTGGGGTCATCGAGCTTCTGGAGTGCAGCGAACTTGTGGGACTCTAGGAGTTTGCCTAGAGGGTGGGGCGTCACCATGAGGCTGGGCCCCAGAGGCCTGGGCTTCCTCCCACCCCTGCACGCCTACCATCCTCGCTTATGAAGTCGTTCTCCACGTTCCCGTCAAAGTCCCCGCACAGCCCGCACATCTGGCCCATGTACTTCCTCTCCACCAACACCTGCAGTGGGTGTCAGGCACTGCTGGGGCTGCCCCTCCTGCTCCTGGCAGGCACCCTACCCACCCTGCACCCCTCCAAACTCCAAGTCTTGCTGGGTCCTCCTTATTTTCAAAAGGGGGAATGGCCACCAGCCAAGCCCACGTTGTTGCCGGTGAGGGTGCAGCACGTGGGTCCCCACCCATGTGACCCCCACAGCCCCACCTCACCCCTGCATCCTCACCATGAGGTGGGGATCTGGGCCCCACAGCACCACCAACTCCAGCTCTAGCTGCTTGGCCACCAGCCGCACGCTTGGGCCGTAGGGTGTGATCTGAAGCCCGTTGCTGGTATAGGGCAAGCTGACCACCCTGTGGGCGAGAATGGTTAGCATCTGTCCCCTGGTCCCCTGTGGCTGTGGCCTGGCCTGGCCTGGCGCCTTGACCTACCCCATGTCCTTGATGGAGATGGTTCCATTGTCCACGGTGACAGCGGAGGCTCCCAACTCCACGATGATCCGGGAGATGCTCCCATCCAACCCTCGCCGCAGTTGCACACTGAAGGCAGGAAGTGCATCCTTGCAGATGGCCGCGAAGACATAGTTGCAGGTCCCCGAGAAGTCATAGGCATGGTGATCGAAGGTAGAGAAGTGGCTGGTACCCCACGTGGAGCACCAGCCCTTGTCTGGGGCTGCAGAGAGAGAGTGGCAGGATCTTGAGGCCTCCTGTCCCACCCAGCTTGCTGGGGCACAGGCCAGACCTGGGAAGTCCATGCTGGGTGGGAGGGGGAAGGGGGGACCCTCTGCCCCACAGCCCACCCGCCCTGCCTGCCCATTCCTGAGTCTTACAGGATAGCAGGCCACCCTGGGCGCTGGGGCCTGTGGCATTTCCAGCCGAGGAGGCTGTAAGACAGAATGTGGCCGCTCAGTCCCAGCTCACCTGTGCTTAGCTGGTGGCCAGCTCAGGCTGGCCATGGGTCTTCTGCCACTGGACCCGCCCTCGAGGCCCTAGCCCCAGCCCATGTGCTTGCTGAGAATGCACGTGAGTGGGTGTGGGAGTGTGTGTCAGCTTGCCTTGGAGTCCAGCTCCTGTAGGCCAGGGAGGGCAAAGGAGGTGGCATCCAGGCCTGTCGGTGCATGGTCTGCGCTGGGACCTGGCTCCATCCCCACCTTAGCAGGGATGGGTGCCTAGTTTACCCATTGTGTTCACAGACTCTGCCCTCCCCTGCAGTGCTTCCTGTCTCTCCCACATACGCTTCAACCTTTAGTCCAGCTGTCAGTGCAGCTCCTGTCTGTGTCTGTCATAAGCAGGGCTGAGGACACAGCACGGGACACCTGGGGTATACCCTTCTTAGGAGGGCACATATGCATATGCACTTGCACACACAGGGATTGCACACATACACCACACACATCCATGTGTGCACACAGGCATGCACACACACAACGCAACCCTCATACATGTGCACATGCATATATACATAGGCACACACCTGCAGGCGCACATATGCACGCACACAGAGGCAAACACATGCACAAAGATATTCATGCACACACATTCACGCACTTGCTCTACTCAACACACAGGCACACATCCATGTGTGCACATGCATAGGTACACATGCAAAATATGCATGCACAGGCACACAAGTGCAACATACAGGCATGGACACACATCCACATGCACACATGTGCACACATAAGCAAACACACATGCATACACGTGTGCAGCAGGAGCCACTGACCATGAAGAGTGCTGGGAGGGTGGGTGTGAGCCGGTGGGCTATGCCCATGGGAACCTGTGATGTGTGCACAGCCCCAGTGCTCTTGGCTGGGGCTTTTGGGGAACACATTGCCCTGCAGGGGGCTGGCCTTGACCGGCAGCCCTGAGACCCTGCTCTTCTACCTCTCTGCCTCTCTGCCCCTCTGTCCCCTCAGTCCCTCTATCCCTCTGTTCCTTGTCTCTCTGATATGCTGGCTGTTCTTAGCTTGGACCAGTCCCCAAGGCATCCACATCTGGTTCTTGTAGCACTCTAAGGCTGACCAAGGCTGAGGTTACCCATTTCCTCTGAGTCCTGAGGCATCTCTCTGCCTCTTCCTCCTCAGCACCTCCAGGACAGCCCACGGGGGTCCTGGGACTGAGATGATGTTGCCATGGAGTTGCCCAGGTGGCAAGGGTCATGGCGACCTCAGGGCAGGGTGAGGTGGCTAGAAGGTGGCCATGCCTGGCTCTGCAGTGCCTGCTCCTCCCCAGTGCCCTCCCCTAGGCTCTGCCCCTTCCTTCTGCTCCTGTGGGCCTTGGTGATGTCCCAGCACTGGCTGGGCAGGTGTCTGTGGCCCAGCAAGATACACAGTGAGTCCCTGAGGATGTGACTCAGATGTTCCATCCCTGTCCCTGCCTACCTGGACCCCATCCCAGCTCTGGGGCTTTGGATGTGATGCCCCCCACTACTGCTTCTGGTCAGTCAGGTCACATGCATCTGGGGGACACCTGGAGGACAGGGCATGCCAAGGGCCTGCCTTGGGTGGAAGACAGGTGCCTGGCTGTGACTCACTGGTGGGCAGCGTGAGCCCCAGCCTGGGCAGGAAGGAGCCCCTCATGTGGTGATGGCTTGAAGTAGGTGGAGGCCCTGGCAAGGTGACCCTTTGACTTAGGATTGCTTTCCAAGTGGCCGAGTATGGCTGGCACCCAGGGGTCCAGTGTCCCTCCAATATGGCTGGAGGGAGGTCACCTGGTCCTGGACTTGCTGTCTGCCCCCTTTTCCTTCCAGGGACAGGTACCTCTGGGGGTGCAAGCCTTACCCGTGTGCCTGGGCCAGACCCCCTGGGGCTCAGTTTCCCCCACCTTCCCTTGTGAGGTGGCCCTGGGCTCCACTCCTAGGCCCCTCTCGGCCGCAGCCCCTCCTAGGTGTTGTGTCCACCTATGGGGACTTCCTCCCCTCCAGTCTCCTGGAGTCCCCACCTCCTGTGTCTGGCCATGACCCCTGCTGGGCACCTGTGTCTCCCGTCTGTCCACTGACCCTCAGTGGGGCTCAGGGACCTGCTGGGCATCCTGCCCACCGCCCCCGGCCTTTCTCAGCCCTGGACAGGGCGCGGGGTGGCAGTGCACGCTGTGTTCCTCTGCACTTGGCAGCCTGCCTGCTGCTGCCCCTCTGCCAGCCCCAGCCCTGTGACCCCACTATCTGCCTCCCTCGGCTTACACTGAGTTGTCCCTCAACATTTGCTGAAATGAGGGGTTCTGGTCCTCCCAGCCTCTCTGTTAGGCCTCACTGCATCCTGGCTCTGAGTACTGCCACGGGGCTCTACTGGCAGCCGTGTGCTGAGGAGGGGCTGGAGAGGGGCCGTACTGCCTGAGGCCGGGTTGTTGCACTCAGCTGCAGGCTGTGTTAGCCACGGTCACTGTGAGGGCTCCCCAGTAGTGACAGGGCCGAGTTGGGACAGGTTGTGCCTCGGACAGAAGGGGAGACTGAGGCCCTCAGGGCTCTCTCTGCTCCCTGCACGCCTGGCTGCCTCTTGAGACCAGGCTTTGCACCAGGCCTGTCCTGTGGGGCAGCTGCTCCAGGGCCTGTGCCCACCCCCAGCGCCATCCTCCTGGCTCACAGGGCTAGGACTCTTACCCCTGCACCTTGCGCCAGCACCCACATGGCTGGCAGGCCGCCTGTCCACCCAGGAAGGCGGAGGTGAGCAGCCCTGGCACTTCCCGCTGGCACGGCCCCCACTCACCACCCCTGAGCAGGGCTGCCCTGCAGGGCAGCAGCAGCAGTAGTAGCAGCAGCAGCTTGGGCCCCAGCATGGTGCTGGCTCTGGGAGGAGAGGTCCCTGCGCCCCGCTCTGCTGCTGGTTGTCTTGCGGTCTTGCTGTTGTCACCTGTGGGACTCAGGCAGCCAATGGTGCCCGCCTTATATATTGGGTGGCGGGACCTGCCCCAGCCACGCCCACCCATGCCCCACGCGCGGCCCAGTAGGGGCCAAACAGGATCTGGGTGCTGCCTTATCACACTTGGCCTTCTTTGGAAAAATCTGCAGCAGCCAAAAGTGGCCCCGTTATCGCCACTCCTAGTGGGGGGCTGACACACCCCAGGGTCTCCAACACCTTGTGGGGCCAGCCTGGGGCAGGGGCAGACAGCCAGGGCCCTCCCCACTGCCTGCACAGTGGCCCTGTCAGCTGCACAGCTGAGCGGCTGGCATAGGGCTCATCTGGGTGGGTCAGGAGGCCCCCACCCTGGACAGGCCCATCCCCATCCCAGAACCCCGGAAAGCACCTGTGCCCTGGGGCCTCCCTTGTCCTGAGTCTTCCGCCTGAGGCGAGCACCCCTGGCAGACTCGGGCCTGCAGGGCAGTGGGCCTGACTTGGGGGCCCTCCCTGGGTGTCCTGTCCCTTGTTGGAGACCCCTGTACTGTTGGCAGTCAGTACTCACCTGGGCCAGGAGCAGGGCTCAGTCCTCAGTGCTTTCCATCCTGAGGCTTCTCTGTGGGGGCGAGTGGGGACATGGTGCCCCGGGGTACACTTTGTCAAACCCACTGGGAGAACAAGAGGCTCCTGGGCGACGTCTGGGGGCAGGGGCCGAGGCGGGCAGGTGCCAGCACCTTGAGGGGTTGGAGCCACAGTGGGGTAAAGGTCAGGGTGATGTGGAGGCCAAGGGGGGTGGGGACTGACAAGTCGCAGTGATTGTCCAGCCCCATGGGAGCCCGGGGCCCGGGTGCAGGCTTCCGCTCCATCTGGGGGTGGCTCTAGCATACCCCATGGACAGCCAGTGTTGAGGGCACCCCTGTTGGGTCCCCACCCCTCCCTGAGCACAGACCTGCCTGCCTCAGTTCTCCAAGTGGCCCTGGCCTCATCTCGCAGATGGCTTAGTTCTCGGCCCCTTCCCACCCACCTTGCACACCAGGGCCACCGCTCCCTGGACAGGACCCATGGCCATGAGTTACCTTAACTCAGCTTTATCTTTCACGGTGCGCTGTTTGGAGCTGGAGTGTAGCTGGGTGGTGGGCCATATGCTCAGCATGTATGAGGTCCTGAGTTTGGGTCCCAGTATCAAAAGGAAACAAAACAGAACAACCACATGGCCTTCGTAGAAAGTCACTGCCAGTGTCCAGGATGGCGGGGAAGGTCACCCTGTGCACTTGTGATATGTGGGTGTCTTGTCCTTGGTCGTTTCTCTTTAACACACCCAGCATTAACATTTCGGGGGGAAACTGAGGAGCAGGGCACAGTGGGGGCAGGACCGGTGAGAAGAGGGTTCTTGGTTGGGTCACCGCCCAGGCCGGCCGGTGCAGGGGGGTCCCAGTCTTCCATGGTGTGGCTGGGACCCCTGCATCCTGCTCAGCCAGTTGGCCGGGCTTGCGTACCTGGCTGTATGTGCCCACATGCATGTGTGAATGTGTGTACACCTGTGCACAAGTACACCTGTGTATGAGTGCATGTGTGTGTGCACCTGTGTGTATGCGGATGCCTCTGTCAGCGAGTATCACTGCGCACATGTGTGAGTGTAGAAGAGTGCATGCAAATAGCCGTGCATTGTATGCACGTGTGCACACTTAAGTGTCAGCAATTATCCTGTGCACACTTGCAATGTATGTATGGCTGTGACTGTGCAAAAATGTGTCTATGCCTGTGCATTTTGCCCATGTTAGCAAGTGCACCTGTGCTTGTGCAATACATGCAGGTGCAAATGTGCATGCAGATGACGGTGCATGTTCACACGTACACATACATGCCTGTGTATGCACGCAACCTGTGTTAGCAGTGTGTCGGTGCATGTATGTGTGCACGTGTGTGCAAGAGTGCATGTGTATGTATGGCCATGTGTGTGAACACACACATGTCTATGCATGTTGCTTGCATGCATATCAGCAGGTACATGTGCTATTCACATGCATGCTGAGTGCATGTGTGCAAGTGTGTGGCATACTGCTGTATGTGTGCACATGTACACGTGTGTGCCAGAGTATGCGCGGATACCCCTCTAAGTATACACACGTGTGTCAAGTGCACACACATGCAAGTGTGTAGCATCTGGCTGTGTGCACATGCATACATAGTGCAGCTGTGTATGTGTGCCAGTAAGTGTGTGCCTGTGCATGTATGAGCATGTGCAAGTGTGTACACATGGATGCCTGTGTGCACTCATGTGTGTGTCAGTAAGTGTACTTGTGCCTGTGCCCATGGTGTGCCTGCGTGGGAGCCTCTGCTGAGCTTCCTGGGAGCACTGTATTATAGGATCTCCCTCCTCCCTGGTGTGCAGGGCCACAGGCGCCCCTGGAGGGCACACAGCCCTGGTGAGCTGGCAGCTAGGTCCTGGGCTCCATCCTGGTGGGGGGGCCAGCGGTTCTGGGTGCTCCCTCCCTCCCCACACGCTGGTCTTCGGGAATCTGTGCTGACCTGCGTGTTTGTCCCCTGACCTGGGAGTGCGCGAGTGCGCTGGCACACGGCTCCAAGTGCTGAGATAAGAGTGAGTGCGGCCATTGTTCCTGGAGCAGTCAGTGATAAGGCCCAGGTCCCACTGGCCTCGGAGAGCAGAACCAGCAGCTGGACAAGGGGGCGATTGTCCACTCTGTCCAGCTCGGACCTCTGCCCTCCACACCGGTCTCCACACCCAGGCCTGCGGCTGGCCACCAAGCAGGGATTTGGATGGGCCCCAGAGCCCAGGCTCATTTCCTGGGTCCATGGTGAGCACTGCCCATTCAGCTGTGGCACCTGGGTGGCCAGAATGAGGACAGTGGCCTCTGCCCCGGCAGGTACTTCTGGAAGGCTCAGGAGCGGACTTGGGCCTACCTCACACCACAGCCAAGCCTGTCTCTCATTTGCAGAGGGGCCAGAGTGGACCTGCTGGCCGGCTGCCCGCTCCACCCCTGGGCCCCACTGGGTCGAGCATGGCTGCCCCAGGGAAGAAAAGCTGTCCCCGGGGAGCGGCCGCTCCCCATCCGGCCCAGGGACTGTGAGCCTGGGACAGATTCCAGCACTAGGAGCAGCACTCCGCCTCTGACTCGGCTGCACTCAGGAGTCTGTCCTGCCCTAGCATGGACCCCGGGTGCAAGCTCAGGGCCACTGGCACTGGCATCCTGGCAGGGCTGGGAGTCACCCAGCGGCCCTTGCTGGGCCAGGGAGACAGCAGGGCCAGCCTTGGGCACCCCTGCTTGGGAGAGGGTGGCAATCAGGTGACACTGGACACAAAGTAGCTGAGGTGGCAGCCAGCCTCGGCCATGCTTTACTGTGGGGTCTGGGCTGCCACCTATCCCTGCAGGCGCCCCCAGTGTCCCTGTGACTCTCCCCTGTGCCAGGCTGTCTGTCCCTGGCGGCTTTGCCTTGGGGGCATTTGGTGAGTCTGCTCACTGCCCATCTTCCTCCAGGGCCCTGCTGCTCTCCCTTGGTCCCCTGTCCTCCTCATCTGTCCCAGACCAGTCTCTGGTCCCCATGTGGGGGGGGGCTGGAGAAATGCATGAGCCCAGGGCCTCAGCCCTCGGTGCCTGGCTGAGCTGGGGTGACCTGCCCTCCCTGTGGGCAGGCGCAGTGGGGAAGAGCTATTGCCAGGGCCAGGGTCACCTTTGTTGAGGGAGGTTTTGCCAAGACGGTCTGGGCCCTGGCCTGCCTCCCACCCCCGGGAGGGCAGCTGCCCACTGCTTTGATGGCATGGTCAGCAGTGTTCTCCTGGACCAGGCCTCTCGCACTGCACCTCTGGAGCTTGCGAATTTCCTGTGACAGCCCTGGCTCTCCAGCCTGCTTTGTCTGATGTTCACACCAGTAGACCCTCTTTCTGTGTTAGTGTGGGGGGTCTTTTCTGTCCCCTTACTTTTCGTAGCTTATTTGTGCTTTAAGGCAAGTTCTTTTAGGCATCCTACAGAATAGTTGTGGGTTTTTTTGGAATCGGGATGGAATCCAGGGTGTGCTCTATCACTGAGCTGCATCTCCAGCCCTTTTATATTTTATTTTGAGCCAGGGTCTCCCTAAGTTACCCAAGCTGGGCTAGAACTTGCAATCTTCTTACCTGTGCCTCCCAGAGTTCTGGGACTGAGGTGATTACCACCTTCCTCAGCTCAAGGTCTTGCCTTTTAATCCAGTCTGACAATTGCTGGTTTCTCACTGGGGTGGTCAGACTGTCACATTTACCTAACTTGACATGATCAGGTTAAATCCTGCACCTCCTGTCGCTTTCCACTCCTCTACCTGTTCTCTTTCCCCTTTCCTCTCTTCTGTCTTCCTTTGGCTTATTCAAGTGTTTGTCGTGACTCAGTCTTTCCTGCTTTGCCACGACCCTGTTTTATTAGTTTGCAGTCACCTTAGGGTATCAGTGCCTGTCTAACTTATCCAATCTGCCTTCCAGAGATAGCCTAATGTGTCACAAATAGAAGAAGAACCTCCAGACAGCATGGCTGCGTTTCCTTCCTCCCAGGCTTGTCCTGTGTCATAGGCTCACACTACGTGGCTAGTCTTTGTTTAATCAATAATCTTTTAGAGAAATTTAGCTAATAAGTAGATGGCTGGGATGCAGCTCAGGGACTGAGCACTTGCTGAATTTGCAGGAGGCCCCATGCTTCACCCCCAGTGCTGCAAAAATAAATAAAAATAAAGAGATAATAAAAAGACCATTCTATGTGTTTGCCCACATAGTTGCCACCCAGGTGTGTATTCTGTGCCTTCCTTCTGGGCAGAGGTGGACCATCCTAGCCTCTGCCAAGGCAGGGTTTCAGTGGCGGGCCCTGTGCTCCCAAAGGACACATTTCCAGGGTGAAGGGTCCTGTGGCACACGTGGTGCAGCTCTGTCTTTAGCCACCTGTGCCTTCTCCCAGGCTCCTGCTGTGCACCTGTGCCCTGGTCCTGTCACAATTCCTGTGTCCCTGGCATGTGGGCTCACTGAGCACTGCCTCCCTTGCCACCTCTGGCTCCGTGAACCTGTGCTCAGGGCCGCCGGAGCTGTCCATTTCAGGGGCTCCAGGAACTGCAGACAGTGGGCCCCTCCGCCGTGCCCGTGCACCCCCTGTGCTCACTGCTCGCGTCTTTCCACGGTCTCACCTGCTGTTCTCTGTCAGTGTGAGGTCTCCCACCTTGGGAAGCTCAGTCTGGGTGTCTTGTTTGGCATCCTCTGGGCTTCTGTCTTGTGTATTCCTTCTCTCCCACAGCTGTCCGGTGCTGTGCTGTGCTGTGCAGTGACAGTGGTCTTCATGGCCAGGACTGCTGAAGCTGACTGTGGTGTTGTGATGAATAGAGCTCTTTCTTGCTGCCTGGGACCACCATGGTGAGTTATGCAAGTGGGCATTTCTGGATCCCTGTAAATGGCCCGGAGCTGAGCCAGGGGCAGTGGATGCTTGGGTCTTACTTTTGCACATCAGCTGCAGGCTGGGAGCTGTGCTCCTCCAGGGCAACCCGAATTGCTGAGACCAGGCCCTGTGCCAACCTATCATTCCACAGTGTGAGCCACAGTGCCCCTCCAGCGCTGCCACCTCTGGGTCCTGCTGCTGCCCCTGTCCTGCCCGGGGCTTTGGGCCTCAGTGTCTCTGCCCCGGATGCCTGTGCCGGGGCTCTGCTGAGCTCTGGAGGGGCACCAGGCAGCCTGATGCTGTAGCAGAAGGCCCACGGCAATAAACCTGGGATGATGAGGGCCATCCTGGCTCTCGGACTCTGAGGTTTCAGTGCCTGTTGCACCAGGCCTGAGGAAGTGCGTGGAGGCAGGGTACCAGGCAGAGCTACACAGCTCACCCCACAGGGCCGGCAGTGAAAGGAAGTAGAGGGCCAGGGTCCACTGTCCCCTTTGAGGACACCCCCGCATATGACCGGAGGACCCCCACATCTGGCTCTCAGGGCTCCCAGCACCTCTGCCTAGGCAGGAGCTGCAGCTCGTGGCCTCAGGGACACTCAGGGACCACAGCAGCACCTTCGGCAGGCCCCGGGCCTCTGAGGTGGCTCTGTCCTCACCAGTTTCCGGCTACCCTGGTCAACCTGAACTCTCAGTGGCTCCTCCTTAGTCCCCTTCTGGCCACACTGGTGCACTGGGCAAGTGCCTGCTGTGGACAGGGGGTCTGGGAGCCCCAAATGCTCACATGGATGTTGGAACCCTGATACTCAGTGAAGTGGAGGAGGTGGGAACTTGGGGAAGACAAGTCCTCAGGATGGGTCGGTGTCTGTGTGCGGAGGCCTGGACAGCATCCACAGCAAGAGCCAGAATTCCCTAGATCCGGGCTCCACACGGCCCAGGGCATCTTGTAGTGGGAAACACAGGCTGCTGAGAACTCACAAACCAAGCCATTGTCTCTCAGGATGTCTGTACGCTGCGCCCCACACCCCATGCCCTGTTTCATGCGTTCCCTCTTCCCCTTGTGAAGTCCAGCCTCTGCCATACTGCTTGCTACAGATCTAAGCCCCCGATGGCTGAATCCTGATTCATGTTTAAAAACTGGAGTGAAGCTGGGCGTGGTGGCACATACCTGTAATCCCAGCGCTTGGGAGGCTGAGGCAGGAGGATCGCTGCAAGTTTGAGGTCAGCCTGGGCTACACAGTAAGCTCAAGGACAGCCTGAACTATAGAGCAAGACCCTGCCTCCAAAACAACAATGAAAACAAAAATTGCAAAATGATACAATAAATAGGTGGAAAAGTTCAGAAGAGCAAGGAAGAAACAGCACAGAGCCCGTGACACCACCTGCCTGTGAGCCGTTGGCCCTTTCCTGTGCTGAGGGACTGAGTACTGTGGCTGGGGATTCACCGTGGGACTTAGGTTCTCAATGAGTCAGGGCTGGAGCCTGCGCTGGGAGGCAGCTGCTCCTTCCCGATGAGAGGCATTGTGCCTTTATGGGGCTTGGTCCTCCCTGCCCTGTGGCATCATCCTGGCCTCTGCCTATACTGCACATGGCCCTGCCTCTTGCATGTCTAAGGCGGATTCCCCAGGGCCCTCAAGTCTCAACAGCCAGCCTGTTTCCAGATAAGCATTGGTCCTAGGTCCAAGGGCTCCAGCCTGAGTTCAGGCTGGGTGGGAACAGAGCGTCCACACGCATCAGCGGTCAAGCAGTTGCCCAGGCCGTTAGCAGGGACTCCTTGCTCCTTGGGAAATCTGTTTTGGGACCATGCTGTGCATGACTTTCTTCTCTAGAGGCTGGGACCCCTGATATCCTCCCAAAGCCTCTGCCCACTTTCCCTGCCATAGCAAACACCTTGGCCCAGCTGACAAGGGCAGGCCATGCCAGGGTGGCCGAATGTCACTTGGCCAGCACCTAGGGACACTGCTCCTATGTGGTCAAAGTGGGGCCCAGGTGGCCACGGATGCAGCCTCTGGGCTGCCTGTGCCTGGCAGATGGGCAGCCCCCACGACCGTCTTGGGGAAGTCCAGCCATGCCTGCCTTGCTGGTCTTGCTGACCCTGGTACAGACACAGTGCCCTCCTGGCCTGGTCCACGGGCTGTCAGACACCCACAGCCTATGGAGCGTGGCTGGTTTTCCAGAGACTGCTGCAGCTGCAACACTGCTGGCTCAGCCTTGAGTGCTGAGAAGCCATGGGACCAGCGTCTGTCCTGTGCCCTGTGGAGTCCACTGGAGGTGGTTGTATGGGTGTGAGGACTTACTGCAAGTGAGCAGCTGCTGCCCCCAGGCAGGGAAGGGAACTGGGGCACAGGCAGGGCAGAGAGTGGCTCTCAGCGCAGCTCGTGTCCCGGGCCAGGCTGGAGCCAGCCGGAAGACCGCAGTCACCTGAGCTTTGTGAAGTCCAGGGCACAGCTGGCGACCTCCGGTCCTGCCGCTCCCAAGGGCTGTCTGCTGTGAGGGCTGAGCGGGGCGGAGGGGAAGGTAGGGCTGCAGAATGAGGGATGGGGCCTGTGCAGCCTCAGGTGGGTGTGGGGTCACACGATGTGAAGCAGCGCCCTGCTCACACACACGCACGCGAGGTCCTGCCCTGTTGTGTTGCACATGCGTGCACGTGAACACACACTTTCTTGGGTACTCAGGGTTTGAGGCACTCACTCTGGAACTCAGGCAACATCGCAGCCCTGACTTCCTGCACACCTTGCACCTGTGCAGTCCCCGTTGGCTTTGTCTCCAACTCCACCAACTCAACGGGGGCAGCTTCTGGCAATCTCAGCTGGGCCAGTTCTGCCTGGGTGCAGTGAGGGTGCCGGGTGCCCCCTGCTGGTAGCATCACCCTGACACCTGTGTGGGAGAAGGGCAGGTGCTGGATGCAGCTGTGACTTCAGGGAGAGGGGACCTGATCTGAAGTGGGGGACGGGGTCAGATGGGACCTGGGGCTCCGGGAGGGGCATCCAGCCGACCCCAGAGGTCCCAGGATCCCTGAGTCCTGGAGGTCGTGCCCCAGACACCCCATCAGGGAGCCCAGCTGCAGGCCTGCCCAGTAAAGTGGCACCCTACACCTGGCGCCTGCCTGGGACACTGGAGGTACCTGGTCATTGGTATCATCTCTACCTGGTCTCCCGGCTCCTTCCACCTACTTTGCCTCCCACCCCAGACCTGGCCACAACCCAGCAGTGATAGCCAGGCTGCTGTCTACAAGCCCCACCTGGGATGGCTGTGCCCCACAAGGGTATGGGTTCTGGCACGCTCCTGCCTGGGTCTGCCATGGGGATCCCTGCCAGGCATGTAGATTCCCAGCAGCTCTCACAGGCCCCCTGTCACGTTCTGAGATGTGGTATGTCTGGGGTACCTATAGCTCCTGGCATTGCTGTTCCCCTGCAACTGACCCACAGGCTGAGGAGCCAACCGATCAACCAACTGTGAACCCCAGGGCCACAGCACCTTCTCCCAACCCTGTCCTGCCGTGAGTGTCTTCCCTGGCCCTGTGTCCCATATCAGGATCCGAGGTGACCTCCTGGAAACTGGCCCCTCTGTATCCCTTCCCCTCCTGCAGGATGTCCCACCCTGCAGCCCCTGCGTCCCCTGGTGCCAGAGGTATAGGTTGGGCCAGGCGGTGGCCTGCCACAAAGGCACAGAAGTGCCATGTCTTCCTCCATAGCCTGCAGCCTGTGCCGAGGGTGAGACCTGAGGGTCAGTGTGGACAGCCCCACCCAGGGTGGCCCTCCTGGCTAGCCAGAGGGCTGGGTGGGAGATGGGAGTGGGCAGGGCTTCCTCCCACAGCCAACAGCTGGAGGAAGTAGCTGCCCAAGGTGACATCCACTGGGCAGAGGGGTGGCCAGCAGGCGCAGCTGGGCGGGTTTGAGAGGCTGCCTGTCTCCTGCTGGCTGTGGCCTGTGCTGCAAGTGGGCTGAGGGTGGCTGGTCTCCTGGTGACTGCCCAGGCCCCTGCTGAAGGACTGTTCCCAACCCAGTGAGGAGCATAGGGGTTTCATCACTGTCCAGGCTTTGCAGGTGGCTGCCCAGGGATGGCCTATGGGAGCAGGAAGGGCACCAGGCTGTGCTGCCCAGGGCCGCGAGTGAGCCAGGCTCCTGTGCGGCCCCAGCTCCTGCCTAACCTCCTCTCAGTTTCATCAAGCCCCAGCCTACAGCCTTAGCCTAACCTTGTCTGAGACCCCAGCACCCCTACATCTGTCCTTTCAACCCAGCACCCTCCGGGAGACCATGGAGGCTGGAGGGGGGCCTCCAGCACCGACAGACACACAGTGGTCCTGGGCCCCTCCAGCCACGTCGTCTCTCTGGGCTGGCAGGACTGCAGGCCGCTGGTGCTGGGGGACGGAGGGGGTGCACTCTCCACTACGCCCCTGCCCTGAGTCTGTCCCACATGGCTCTCCCCTTGGCTCTGGAGTTGAGGAGCCAGCGATTACTTGGCCAGGTCTTGGGCTCCAGGTCCTGGTTCCTGCTCTCCCCCTGCTTCCTGGAAGAGGCCAGCAGGAGGGTGGTGGTGCTGGCCTTGTGCCCGCAACAGGACCTGGCCATAAACCTGCAGGGCGAGGCTGTGGGTGCACGCTGACCCCCTGCGGACTTTCCTCCCTCCTGGCCCACAGCTGTCACCATTCCCAAGAACTGGCACCTTGTTTGTTCCTTGAGGAGCTGCTGGCATTGTCTCCCTGGCCCGGCACCCACCCACCTTCTCCCACAGCTGCCCAAGCTGGGACAGGACCCGGCCTCGCCCTCCTCAGTGCCGGGTGTGCCTGAGTGGCACTGGGCTGCCCTGGGGTCCCCAGTCCCTCTGGGGGCAGCCGTGAGCTGCACACCTGCACAGACCCCACTGGCCAGCAGGTGGACCCGGTGCCCCCTGCTCGGGAAGAGAAGCGTCAGGCTTTGGGGTGTCCCTGTGCCTTGGTGGCTGCGGCTTCCATCCTGTTGGGGCGTCACCAAGAAGCTCAGGCTCTGGCAGCTTGAGCTGCCTGCAGGTCACTGGGGAGAATCTCACTGATGGGGCTGGGCATGGGCGGTGCAAGCACCCTGCAGTTTCTGGGTGGAAATGAGGCCACCACATCTGCCCTGAAGACCCTTCTGGCCAGCCTGGCAGTGATGTCAGCAGCCATGAGCATCCCACACAAGAGGCCACGTTTGGAAGACATTCAGCATTTTAGACAACCCACACAGGTCCTGCAGAATCTTTCGTGTCCGTGACCCAACACTGGCCTGGTGAGGTGTCTGCTGTGTCCCCGGGTGGGTGGCATCAAGGGAACAGCCTGAGGAGAGGAGCTCACAGAGATGTGCGGCTCACCTGCGCCTTGCTCTTTGGCGTTTGCTCTGCTCATGGAAGCTCCCATTAAAGTGTTGTCTGTGTTAGTGTGGGGCATCGTGGTCACCCTAACACCCGCGTCGCAGCCTCCCTGAGGTCACAGCCGGGCTGGCACCCCGCGTCTGTTCATTACCAAAAACGATTTTTCTCTCTTTAGAAATAGTTTTACTTTTTATTGTGATGAAATATACCTGGTGTAGCACTTCCTGTCTTGGCTGTGTTTAAGCGCACAGCCAGGGCACGGAGCCTGCCAACACTACAGACAGTGCTACTGTGCGCCTCCGGGGCTCCCTCACTGCCCCTCAGACACCACCCCACCCAGGCTCTGGCTGCATCCTGCTCTGTCTGCAGCCCTGACCCTCTGGGGTCTCCTGCAAGTGGGGTCACACAGGACCTGTCTTCAGGGACTGGCTGACTTCAGAGCAGTGTCCTTGAGTCCATCCAGGCTGTAGCAGGCATTGGGCCTTCCTCCCCTTCAGGGCTGAATGATATTCCACCATGTGGCTAGAATCCGCCACTTCTGTTCATTAGTTTGTGGATGTTGTGAATCGCGTGGCTATGAACAGTGTGCAGATCCCCGAGTCCCAGTTCTCATACATTGGTGCCTGTGCCCATCATGGAAGTCTGTGCCCTTTGCGGTTCTGTGGTCAGCTTTGAGGAACTGTGCCGTGTTGCACCCTGCTTCTCTGGACCTCACTGCCGCTTGTCACCACTGGTGGCTGGTGGCCTTGTGAGGAGCGGGAAGGTGCAGGCCCTGCATGCACTCCTCACTCTTGCTTCCCCTGGGCAGCCCCAGGTGTCCTGACCAGGCTGTGGGCTCCTGGGGCCAGATGTCCATGGCCCCTGTGCCTCTGAGCTGGTCTGGATTCCCTGTCAGGGTGCAGGGCATCTCCCCGACTCCATCCCAGGCTGGGCTCAGGCACTCTGGCCCCAGGTCTCACCCCAACCCAGGGCCTGGCCCTCTGCTCTGTAACGGCTGCTGAGGGGTGGGACCCAGGTCATGGCCTCGGGTGCCCCTGTGAGCCCCAGTGCCTCCACTTTTGCCTGCGATGGACACCACAGGCCCTGTCCATGGTGTAATGCCCAGGGAATCCTCCTCTTAGAGGCCAGCGCAGCCTTGTTTCCATATGAAGCCGGAGACATGCACTTCGGTCCCAGAATACAGGCTGCGGGTGGCAGGAGCATCCCTGTCCCCTCGCCCCAAAGTCTCTACCCTCTGAGCTGCCCTGACCTTACCAAGCAGCTGTTGATAGTTTGCTCCCCCCCCAATCCCCCGTACCAGGGATTGAACTCAGGAGATGCTGGCCCTGACAGTCTGCTTTTTGTTTTTGGGACAGGATCTTGCTATGTATTCAGGTTGGAATTGAACTCACTACATAGCCCAGGATGACCTCAAACTTGAGGGCTGCTGCCTCAGCCTCCCAAGTGCTGGGATTAGAGAAGTGCGCCTGCATACCTAGCAGGCTGGGAGCAGCCGGTGGGAGGACAATTCTGTACCCAGTTCTTTTTGTTAAATAACATAGCTTCCTGAGCAGAAAGTCTTTCATGCACAGGGATGCGTACAACGTGGTCATGTCAGGACGGCAGCTCCATTCCCCCGTTCTGCACTGAGGATCCACACTGGATTTGAGAGGCTGACTGGAGTCCTGGCTCCCACTCTGTGGTGGGCTCAGATGGCACCGCCCTTGCTGGGGTTTCATGGTTCTGAAGGTTTGAATGAACTCACTGTGAGATTTGGCCTCTGGCCATCACGGGGCTCTGGCTATCACTGAGGATTACTTTACAGCCTCTTCCCCAGCCGTGGGCGAGGGAAATAAAAGCAAACATCGGATCTTCATGGGAATGCCTGATGGCTATGGAGCAACCCACGTCACAGCTGCGTGGCCTTGCAGTCACTGGCACGTTGGTGGACAGCTGGGCAGCAGCAGCCTGGGCAGTGGAGTCTCTTCCCGGAACTGAGGACACCGTGGCCCAGCGATGTGGGCTGGACCTGGGCTGCAACTCTGGTTGCCCAGCCTCCTGCCTTGGGGACAGCCGGGTCTTGGGGAATCTGTGTCCCTGCAGAGCTGGTGCCTGGGAGGCCCAAGGGGTCACATGACTTCCCTTTCCCCAGGGCAGTGCTCCTGGAAAAAGGCCGTCCTTTGGGTAGGTGGGGGGAAGAGCAGCAGGGATCATTGCGGGGTCCTTCTGGAGGGGTCCCGGCCTGCTTGGGCAGCCCCTGTGTCCCCTGTCCCCCTTTCTGCCATGGATGTCCACAGGGACAAGCAGGAGCCCTGCTGGCTGCTGTCCGGGAACCCCCGGGCGGGCATCACAGAATTGGCTCTGGTCCTGTTGCCATAGTTCTGGTCTGAGGTGCACAGGCCCAGCCCTTTCCTCATGTGCTTCCGGGGCCCAGGTTGGACTCAGGGCTTCAGCCTCCGTGCTCCTCTCAGGGCTGCCTGGGCCTGAGGGCTCAGCCTACAAGGGCACAGGTGGGGTCGGGGCGGGGCACCTTTGGCTCTGCCTGGCCCCCGTGGTACCCCTGCCCAGGCGTGGGTCCAGCTGCCGTGCACCCTTGGTCAGAGCACCAGCTCTTCTTTTGCCCACCAGACCTGGGGCTGCAGCGCCACCCAGCAGAACGCACTCCAGCGCATTCTCCAAACCTGGGTCACTTCAGACCCAAATCTCCTGGGTTCCCAGCCCTGGCCTCATGTGTGCCAGTTAGGCAGACATGTCCCAGGTGGCAGGGTGTCCCACTGACTCCCACTGAGTGCAGTGCTAGGTCAGGAGAGGCCATGGCCCCTCCATACACTGCTGCTCCCCATGTTCTACAACCTCTCCATAGCCCGCAGTTGCTCCATAAGAGGAAGTTGGTGAGTGCAGCCATGCTGGGAGGGTGAGGACATCCTTAGGGGTCAGTGCTTGACCCCTGAGGCCCAGTGACCCCAGACAGAGGAAGTGAGGTGGGTGTGTTGCAGGGGACTCCACTTGTCCATGCACAGCAGCGCTAGTCACAGCCTCCGGGAAATGGGGTCACCCCACGTGGTTCCTGTGGGTACACAGACAACAGAAATGTGGTGCCTGGGCACAGCGGGTCCTCATCAGCCATGGGAAGGAAGGAGTCCTGGGACAGGAGGCCACTGTGGTGAGGGAAATGAGCTGGACACAGAGAGGCAGATGGGGAACCCTAAGCATCACTTCGTGCCAGAGAGTGGAGCGGGGATCCCAGCTGGGCCAGTAGGGACAGGCGGCTGGGCTGGTCCGAGGACACAAACCTTGGGGTGGCCAGGAGGGAGAATCCAGCAGCCCAGCATGAAAGTGTTCTCAGTGGCATTGTGCTGCAGTTCAGAACCTGGGGAGAGCAGGTTTAATGTGTTTCCAACACAACTGTGGTATGTGTGGCATTACTCGCAGGTGTGAGCTCAACTTAGCCACAATTACATGCTGCAGACATCACGCTGTGCATGTAAATGCACACAGTAAGGAGAGAGAGGGGGGCTGTGAAATGGAAGCCTTGTTATTTCTCGGGGTCCACAGGCCACCAGTTCTGGCCTCCCCTGTTCCCCACCTGCATCCGTGTATCCAGTCCCCGTGGTACCCAGGGTCACCACAGTGGCCGACACTGCGACTTCATGCTCTGTCCTGGCTGTTGAGGCCCAGGGAGACCCTGGGGTGGTCCTGACTTGTTTGTGGTCCTGGGTGGCCTCGCCCACCCTGCAGGAAGCAGGGCTACCACCCCGGGTGGAGCAGTGAGCTGTGGGGCAGGGAGGAGCTGCCGTGACCGCGTCCCAGCCGCGCTCCTGGCATCAAGTGTGCGGTGAGATGTGCACTTCCTCTCGGGGTCTCCGCTGGCCTCGCTGCCCTCCCAGCCTGTGAGACGAGACAGGTCCTTCGCAGGAGCCGTTGGGGCCATGATGGTGACCAAGGGCTCTGTGGGCCAGGGCGTGGTGGGGACAAGTTTCTTGCCCTGTGGTGGTTGGGGCCAGGTGGCTGGCTGAGCCCGGGGGCAGTGCTGCACTGTGCCTGGGTGCTGGTCCCCGAGGGCAGTGGGTGGCTGTTCTGTGGACCCCGGCTGCCCAGCTCCATGGGGACAGTGCACGTGAACAGGTGGGGTCCCCAGGAGCTGAGGGCTGTTGTGCTGGGGACTCTGCCCATTCGCTGCAGGCCGGAGTTGTGCTGTGTCCTCATCCCGCTGTCTGGCAGCCCCTCTCTCAGGGCCTTGGCACTGTAGAGGTACTGGTGGGCAGATGGAAGACTGCCCTGCCCAAGCGCGTTGGTTTTCTCACCACCCAAGTCACAGTCGAGCAGTGCTAGCAAGAATGTCGTGGGAGCCCTGGGCTCGCCCTGTGCAGCGTTTCCCAGGGGCGAAGGTGCTGCCATTGTCCACTGTGGGGACCTGAACCTTGGTCACCTGGTCAAGGTGGTGTCTACCAGCTTCTCCACAGTGAAGCTGCCATTTCTCACTTCACAGCTAAGTATCGTGGGGAAGATATTTTGAGTTTATGCAAATAACTTGTTTGGCTTTAGCTCACTAGTTTTAAGATCTTTCAGTAAATATTAATTACCACAGCCATTGGTGCTCTGTGCATTGATGGTG